TATTAATCAATAATATCGTAAGAATATGAATTAATTTCATCGAAATAAATATATTTAGTAATATATGAAAGTAATGATCAATCAGAAATAAATGGTTATTATATTAATAAAAGTCTATTTTATTTAAAATAATTCCATGTAGAGATTTTAAATATATTAATTGAATAACATAATTAATACATTAATTTCATTTTCAAATAAAAACAAAAAAAAAATTTATATTCAAAAATTAATATAAAAATATATTTTTCAAAATAATAACAAATAAATTTATCTTTTCTCGAGAAAAACAAAAAGAGTTTTTATATGAATTTTTCTTCTAACTAAATACTAATTAATAATAAACTTCTTCGAAATTAATAATTCTCCTCTTTATAAAGAAGATGTTTACACGATAATATAGATACATTCTTATGACACATTCAATCAAATTTTACTTTGCGTTTTCTACACATATATTCATCAATATATATCAAAAATCCTAAGAAAATTAGCAATCGGAAAATCTTTTCAAGTTGTTTATCTTGAAAGAGATCATTGAATAGAAAAAAATAATCATTTTCAATAATTAATAAAAATCAAATAAAAATCTATGAAAATATTCTTTATCACTAAAAGAATGCACAATTATATAGAAGAATCGTTTAATATCAAATTTGATCTCATTGGAGAACATTTTAATATATTTCAATAGATAGTCTAATATCAAAGAGCCAAGTCAATTGATTATATCTATATATGAACTTATTGCCCGGAATATCAAAGTTTATAGAGGAATCTTGAAAATCAATGTCTAGAAAAAAAAAACAAACATATTGTTTTTTGTTCTATTCGTAATTAACTCCTATATTGTAGTTTCTATTCTGCCATCTTATAGATTCGAACATAAAAAACAAAGAAAAGAAATTGATTTCGTTTTGAAATTAATTATTTTAAATTTAATTTAAGATTGATATTATCATTAAAATTTTCTCTTCAATTATCTAATACTTTTCTTAAATTCGATCAGCTGATTCTTCACCCACTTGCAAAGTTTCTTATAGAAGAATTTCTCTTTTATTTAAATATCAGTTTTCTCTTTCTTTGAATTAAGCAATTTTTTCCTATAAAAGATTTTTAATCTCGTCTTTTTTTAGTTTTGATTCTATAACAATAACTATACAGCAGAGTCATGTTTAATAGCAAATATTAAAAGCTGAGATTTATGCTAGAATTATTTATCTTTTTTTATCGATCGTATTAAGTAAAGAGAGAAGAGATATAACTGCGCATTTTAATAATTTGTTCATAGATGATGTACCATCCAATGACGATAATACAACAGATAGAATTACAGAATTCTTTGACACAAGAATATTTTCAATAGTTCAAAAACGATTGTATTTATGTTATTTTTCTTGTAAATTATTTTATTTATGAGTTTTTTAGACTGAAAATTAAGTAGATTAAATAACAAAAAAAAAGAGTTTGAACAGTTTGAAGAAAAACTTGAATAGAAATTAGAAAAAGAAAAATTTTTCTCTATTAAATTAACTATTTTCGATTTGTTTTTCTTTTTATTATAATCGCAATAAAATTAAAATTTAATGAAAAATTTATCTAGAAACCGAGAAAAATATTATATCTATACATTTCGAGATTTAAAGATAAGGTCTATAAGAATATCATTCAATCTTATCAATATGATCATATGACCAAATTTAAAAAGACGATCTTATTTTCAATAAAATGAAAGAACATATTTGAAAATCTATAGATTCAAAATTTCAACTTATTCTTGCTCAAGCTCAAAACAGTTACACAGACGACACCGAGTATGTCTGACAATTGTTTTAAATCAAAATATCAACATTTTCATGTTGACACTATTTCATTGATTTTCTTCTCCATATGAGAGATAGATTTCGTTCACAGCAACCTATACCAACTTGATAGAGATTGAAAGCACAACGCATATTCAAAAGTCTTCACATAATCAAAAACACATGGAAATCTATATTAACTTGACAAATATTGAAACAATAAATATATGCAGGGTGTGGGTGTGGGTGTGGGGTGTGGGTGTGGGTGTGGGTGGGTGTGGGTGTGTGGGTGTGGGTGTGGGTGTGGAAGGGTGTGGGTGTGGATGTTGGGTGTGGGTGGGGTGTGCATGCAAACGGGAAAAGTACTTACCCACACACCCACACACCCACTCACACCCACACTCACACCCACACGCACACCCACACCCCACACCCACCTACACCCAACCCACAGCCACACCCACTCCCACGCCCTCCAGCACCCAATTTGAAACTTATTCAAACTTTGCCGGAATGTGCTCCCATATGTTCTGTATGAGCACAGTTAGCATAAATTAGCATAAATGTTTGTGGACCCTAGAGCAGGTTTTCGAAAAAACCATGGTTTTTTCAGGTATTTTCAAATTTTCTCGATTTTAGAGACTTTCTTATTCAATACAAATATCATATTTACAATCAGCGCACAAAACTGCATCGAACGATGAATGATTTAATAGCTTCTCAAATAAAAACTTTTTTGATAAAAAATTAGGGCAAGGGTTCCCCTGAGGGATTGTTCATTAAAAAATTGTTTTCTGGATTTCACGTTTCTTTGATCATTGATTGTTTTCTGAAGGGTAGAAACTGGTATTTGTGTGAAAAAAATGCGATTTTAACATGAAATAAGCCATGTCCACATGCTGTCTAGAAATTGCTCACTGTGACCCACACACCCCACACCCACACCCACACCCAGACCCAGACCCAGACCCACACCCAGACCCACACCCACTCCACCCACGCCCACGCCCACGCCCACGCCCACGCCCACGCCCACGCCCACGCCCACGCCCACACCCACAACCATACCCACACCCACAACCATACCCACACCCTTCTCGAGTATGTCCGCCATAGTCTGCAAAGATGGAGGAACAATAGCAAGGTTTCTGTCACGGTCTGTGAAGGGGAAGAATAGAAATTTCGACCCCTATATACATCAACACTTCTTTTAAATCATGTTTCATAAAATCCATAGATACTAATAATCAGTTTTTGAGAAAACCCATCTGATAGCTTATATATATAGTAAAACGTCTCTATAGTGGATACCTTTCGGACTTTTTAAGAGTTTCCATTATAGAGAGGGGTTCATTATAAGGAGGTCAAGTCTTTTCCAATGTCAAAGTTTTCTACAAAGAACAGACGCGGTGTTCAGGTATCTGAAGAGCATTTGTGAATAAAACAATTAACTACTGCTCATTGTTACTTCTCTTTTCATGCATTTTTGCTCTTGAAAAACTAACACTTGTTCAAATGTAGTACAATTTCCCTGTCATGGACACTATTGAGACTTTTCAAAAGTATTCACCATAGAAGTATATCACGGTGTTCACTATAGAGAGGTTCATTTTCAGCAAAAAAGGATACATGAAACTTTCAAAATGTCCACTATGCAGAGGCGTCCACTATGGGAGGTTTTATTGTAGTTTAACACCTAGAAATAAAAAAGTCTCATTGATTGCCTAACAACACGCAGAACAGAATTTTTTTCAAAAATCAAATACATATCGATGCTGTGTTAAAGCTAACACTTTTTTGCCTCCGTGAAGAAACTTAGCCTTGTTTATTGTCGTTCGGTTTTCTCCTTAACAAATTTCAGCGCTAAAAAGGCTAAAACTTCAAAACTCATTAGAAACATAAAGATAATACCTATGTTAGTTCCTAAATCAAAAGCTTCACCACCTCGAATGTGATAATACTTCGTCAACACATCATGACCACTAAATATCGTTCTATTTGAAGACGTACGATTACATAATTCAGTCATAGAAATTCCATTGTCACACTGGAAATGTACATTGCTACTGAAACTAATCTGAAGACACGCATCATAGCCGTACTTGAAAAAAGACAGATATTTTAGCCATGAAATCCATAACGGTATATTTTCTATGTAGAAACCGCCGAGCAGTGTCATTGGAAACAGCAGTATTGTTGCAATTAATAATGCTTGAGTTACGTTGTCAACTGTAGAACACACGATGAGAGACATTGTTTGTGAGATGATAACCATTAGCAGTTGAATGAATAGAAAACCGAGATAGTTTATAAAGTATGGATTAAGATTGCATATCCAGTACGTGACAGTTAGATAGATGAATGGTGGAGTTAAGAGCACCGGTGTTTCAGCCAATAATTTACCTAAAAAATATGCTGATAGACCATAGAGACCACTTTCTCTTTGCTCTCTTCTAATGAGTTTACGTTCTGTTGAAAAAGTAAATATTGTATTCATTAGCACTTCGAACGGCCATAATGTCAAAACGAAGAAGATGTAAGAAGAACGATCTCCTAAGGTTGATTCTCGAAATGGCATACGAAACCAACAGAGGCCAGTGAACAGAGTTAAGAATAGAGTGTAGATTAGATACAATCGAGTTAATTGTACTGGAATGATTAATTTTAATGAACGACAATATAATACTGTAAATTGTTGAAGAAAACAGCTTTGGTAAATGCTGACAGAGCTCTGGATTAGTAGTGACTCTTCGTGGCTCTCAGATTGATATTCTTCTTGTTTAGGAGAGGCAGCAATTTTTACATAGTTTTTCACTAAACGATTTCTAATCGATTCATTACTTTCGCTAACTAAATCCATCATATAATCAGCTGGATTGAAGTGAACAGGACATTGATAACCGAGTGACGTGAAATAGGGCACAGCATCCTGCCGTTCATTCTGAAAGAAAATGTAAGGTTATTCTATCTCTTTTCAGACTGCATTGATCTCGTTCAATCACATACCATAAAAACTATTGCGCCCTCGGATATAAGCATAATTTTATCAAATATTTGGAACATCTGTGAAGACGGCTGATGAATTGAAAGAACAATCGTCTTCCTCTGCTCATCAGCCAAGTTTCTTAATAATTGAATCAACGATATAGCTAAAGCACTGTCAAGACCACTGGTAGGTTCTAAAGAAAAAAGAGGGATTCAGACCTGTGTTTGTGGAAGATGAAAAACAAAATAACCATCTAACAGTAAAATCGATGGATTTGTTAACAATCCTATTGCAATACTAAGACGTTTCTTTTCACCATTACTAATTAAATATATTGGTGAATTTATCGATTTCTGTAAATTTAATTTTTTAACGAGTAATTGCACATGTTTTTCATGTAAGTGCCAAGATAATTTGAGTCTAGCAATGAAGATCATTTGTTCTCGTACAGTTAATGTATCAAAGAATTCATCATCTTGCACAACATAGGCAATTTTCTGTTTCATTTGACTATGATTGTAGGGTTGGTTATTGAATAGAATTTCACCAGAAACGCCGCCGGTGGAACGATTATTGAGCGTATTTAATAGAGTTGTTTTGCCGCTACCTTTTTAGGTGAAAAAAAACCAGAAAAATTTAAAAAGTTAGTACGCTCTCGACAAAAATGCAGAAGTTTTCAAATCATCCGAGCTCTCTAATTCTATAACTACCATAATATTCAGACAGAATCATTATGATATTTTTTGATTCGACTACAAACCTGATGCTCCCATTACAGCTAATATTTCTCCAGGATGAACACTGCCACTAATATTATGAAGTAATACTCGTTTAGTAGTTGTCGTTTCCTTTGGCAAATTTAAATCATCATCGTCGTAATCGTGATCTGCAGTTACAACTTTAGTTAAATCACGAAATGTTAAAGATATTTCTTCTGTTGAATGTCTACGTAGAGTTTCTTCTTCTTCTTTTTCTTCTTCATCCTCTTGATCATTGGACAGACGAAGATGTTGGTAATGTACGTGTTGCGTTGAAGTGCGAAAATAAGATCTTACTGTTTTCTTAAGAGTATTCATTGTCTTGCAGTATGGTTTGAGACATTTTTTATACGACTTTGTACGACCGTCATCATCTCTTGATAATATTCCTTGTTCTAACGAATCTGAACAGTGAAATCTATTGTCGTACATTTCTTTCTTCTATGATTTTGAAAAATGTTCGTTATTGAGTGGGAACCAATCGTTGTTTACCGATCTCTACCTTCTCTTTCTCTCGTTAATTGATTTTAAATAGGACAACTACTTTTTTTCTAATAGTATTCTTTCCTTTCTTATTCATCACACACAGCAATTGCTATATGCACTTTAACATACCACTGTACACAACAACAATTATAAAACATAAACATATTCAATCCATTAAAAAAACTCACACGCAATCTTTTTCAACGACTTTGTTGTGATAGAAAGTGTGCGTATAAAGTTATTTCTTTGCAACCAAGACAAAAAAAGTTATCGAAAAATGTTTGTTAACGCAGCTCCTTTGGGGCTAAAATGTGGAACTCAGGTATCTTCTTCAGATTAATTAAGATGGGTGGGTGGGTGTGGAAGTGGGTGTGATAGTTCTTGGTATTTATATCCACATCTGCATCCATCCTCACAGTGTCACACTCACCCACATCCACACCCTATCTGCATACAAAAGGTGGCGGTGGTATAATGGACGATAGTCCAGAGTGTATGCACCATAATATCAGATAGATTACCTTTCCCCTAGAATCGGGACGGTGCGGTCCTTCAAAATTTTCGATCACAGCAAATTTTCCTTTATATTTTGCAGTCATTTTGTACTTCTCGAGAAGCTGTATGTGCGCACAAAAGATGGCGATGGTCTGATGAACGATAGTCGAGATCGTATGAACGACAACATCAGATAGATTGACTTTGCTGTAGAATCGAGACGGTGTAGTCCTTCGAAATTTTCGATCGCAACCAGTTTTCCTTTATATTTTGTAGTCATTTTGTAGCTATTAACAGGTTCTATCCGCACTCAAAAAATGGCGATGGCATCATGAGCGATACCCAAGATCGTATGAACCACACCATCAGAGAGATTGGCTTTCCCGCAGAATTTGGACCGTGTGGTCCTTCGAAATTTTCGACCACGGCATATTTTTCTTCATATTTTGTAGACATTTTCTAGCTCTCGAAAAGCTTTATTATCCCTGAAAGTAGGAGGTTCTTATGATGAACAGCCCTGATGAACCTATGAGCTGAATTGTCGAATTGATAACACTGATGTCCTAGTTGGATATGCCGAGTAGAGGTCTCAGGAGGTGCTCTGAAAGTGTTTCGGACGCTTTATTCTTATATAGAGGAGGATGAAATTCAATTTGGGAAAGTGTTCTGAGTTGTTCTTTTTTTTAAGGGCCATTTTGCGTGCAAACCATTCCCCCTTTTTTCGAGTAGAATTTTCAAAAAGTACTCTGCGTTTTCGTATAACTGTTGTAAACTTCTATTGCTACGTGGTCTCTGAAAAAATTGAATATAATATCTCGTTCAGTCGAGGTCTAAGCGAGTCGAAGCGATGAGCGTTACTTGTATTATTTCATTTATTAATGAACTCTTAGTTTATCTTAATGAAAAAAACACTATATGAGTTCATTGATCTTTTTGATAAAAAGAAAAACTATTCAAGGAAGAAAAGAGAAGTTTTGAAAGATAGAATAACAAATCATGAACGAAAGCTTTGTGTCCGTTTCGATCATCGATGTGATTCAAGTCACTTACGATGGTTTTTTTAAAAGGACTCTAGATTACAATGCACTAAATTGTTAAGATTTTTGTTGACTACAGATCTATGTTTGCACTGCTTTCATCAAATTCATCCATTGATTGGTATCACTCGACTTTCTTCCTTTTCCTCATAGAAACTTCTTTCGATTGCGCGAATCATTCAAGTGTTACTATTAGTTGCTTCGTTTACATGCCGATGGATAAATACGGTAAGTAATGAAGAGATACCACTGTCTCTTGTCGATGTTCTGTGTCATGTTCGAACTGTCTTACGAGGAAGCTTCCCCGAGTGATCAATCGCTTTTTCATGGAAATATAAGTGACTTTGTGCAGCTTTTTACGCTGACTTTGAATATCAGAGCTATAGCAGCTCCTAGGCCTTCCATGATCCTATGCCATAACTACTAAATTTCTTTTGGCAACGGTATTTTTCATCAGATTGAATTTCTAATCAGTCAATTATACATGATTAGCCAGAATATTCAAAGGAACACTCTTTTTGACATTTCAACCTTAAAGGTGTGGGTGTGAGTGAAGCTTATCAGAAGACCCACAAATACACCCGCATCCACATCTGCAGTCTTTCTAGACTTGAGACTTTGTTCGTCATAGATTTCCATCATTAAGTTCTCATTAGATCTTTTCCGTGAAGATCTTTTTATCTGTCTTTCTTTTTGACAATCAGAACTAAGTGTATTTTCAACAGTGTAAAGGATGATATATTGCCATACCTCTTCTAATCAATAGACACTGTAAACCTGAAGGTCTAGATTAAGTAGATGGGTGGGTGAGTTGAGCTTTGATAGAAGTGTTTTTTCCTTGTATGTCTGTCAGAAGATCGATTTCCCATAGAGATTTCCTCTGAATATATAATCAAATAGCTATGAGATCAGAATTAAAGTCTTAACCAGGTGGAACAACAGCCGATCGAGATCGAAATCTATCGAGATAAGTATGTACATCAAGATGTATCTGGAAATATAGAAAGTCAATCAAAATTACTTGGGTTACAAATGTTTTCTTGGTCTCTACATATCAGGACGAAGAATTCCTCACCTCGAAGCAATCTTTCAATGTTATTATTCTATGCTCGCTAAGGGTGAGATCCGCTGTAATCGAGATTCAGAATATATTCGGGGATTTAGATCAACATCTATGTGGGGACAATAATAATAGTTGTGCATATCAATTTCCTACTAACTAGGCTTTTTAGATCTTTTCAAGTACATTTGGATATTGTTTACGTATATTTAGTGTGAACTTTTCATGGCAATGCCTGGCACTTCTACCTGTCATATATAAATATGACTTTCATTAGGTTTCATGGAATGTATCATTATTTCATCAAAGAAAGTATGTTTTTTTTCTAAAGAAGAAAAGTCGTTCATTATAGTTTTTTGAAAAGGTTTTCTGACGAGAAGAGAAAACATGGTATCACGAACTCTGATGATCGAAATTTAATGCTGCATTTTAAAATTTGAGTTATCTTTAATTTAGTGTCGCAACTAGTCAATCAACGTACTTCATACATTCAATTCACTGTTTATAATCAATGTCGAAGTTAGAATTTATTTCAAGGTATATGATCAAGTTATCAACTAGAATAAAATAGACACTACAAAAAACCTAATCTTGATCTTGTAAATATTTTCTCTGTCAATTGCCATCTTCAATTGTGGTTATCGCTTCAATAATCGATAGAGGACTTTGTGTCCGGTGTAATTGTTTAAATCTATATCCACTCTCATTTAGTAGATAAATATATTCTGATAATGCTCTTTCTTTGGAGCCTATGAATGCGAGTAATTCAAGATCAAACACGTGTACTTCCCAATATTCTTTGCTGTTTGATAATATAACTGTTTCTGCGATAAAAACTGTTATTGTTTTTCCCGCCTGTTTTTTGTTCGCGTTACGTAACGATTTAAGAATTTCTATTGCTTTTTCATCATTCCAACCATGAATAATGTATTTTAACATGTAGGCATCAGCCGAAGGTATTGTATCTGATTTGAACACATCTCCTGCAACAAAATCATAGCGTTTTTGTTCGATCAACTTCTTTTCAAATTCGTTTGGCTTAATTATCTTGGCATTTTCAATCACCTGAGGTAAATCGAACAAAATACCATGTAGATTCTGGAATTTTCCTAGAACTGAGGATAATAATGATCCAAACCCACCACCAATATCAACTAATGTATTGAAATGTGAAAAATCAATTACGGGAAGAATGAATGATATCTCATAACTAGAAAAACCAACCATAGCATTATTAAATATATTTGCATAGTCCTTATTTTCTTCTTTTTGCATGTAGTCGTAAAGAGAGCAGCCAAACGTTTGTTGAAATCCATCACCTTTATTGCAACCATATTTGATCAAAGCAGGATAATACGAACATATGTTGTCGGTTTGTGGGCTGAGTTCTAATAGAATCATGTCGCGAGTTTTCGATGGATGATTGCTGGTGAGTAAAAGTCCATCGTCGGTCAATTGAAATTGAATCGATTGTTCAGGATGATTGTTTTCATTTAGATTTTCGTTGTTGATTTCTAACTGTTTGATGACGTCAGCATTTGTTACAGCTCGGAGCAAGCGGTATAAAAATTCAGCATTCCAATTGTTCCCGTTCAATTGACCCAGTTCTACTGCCGTGATTGGAGCTTTGTAACTAGCCATAAGATCAGGAATACCCAATTCACAAAATGTCCATATTGCTCGTTCGAGCGATCGATGACAGAGGAATGACATGAACTTTGGAAAACCTTTCAATTCCAATGGAGATTGAATGGTGTTTGTTTTGTTTTCTGTCATTACTGCTGAAATCTTATCTGTAAATAATGCAAAATTCTATACTTAGGAATGAAAAAAAACATATGAGACAATATATTTTAGTGTTGCACACCTGTCGACAAGTTCAGTTTTATTTCGAAACTGATGAACTGTTCAAAATCTTCATTAACAGCAAGTGAACTTAGGGATGCACCGGTTGCGGTTATAACCGATACTGGTTCCGGTTTTAGAACCGAAACCGATAGAACCGATTGGAATCAAAACCAGAACCGATAAGAACCGGAACCGGAACCGAATCGCAACTGACAAGAATCGAAATCAGAACCGACAAGAACCGATAAGAATCGAAACCGGAACCGATAAGAACCGATGAGAACCGAAACCGGAACCGATTACAACCGATTGGAACCGTAATCGTAACCGTAACCGGCCAGAACCGGTAAAAAATCGAGTAGAACCGAAACCAGTTGACTCTAGGGATACAA